TCGTCTGATGAGTCACAGTATCCTGTGCCAGCGCATGTACCAACAGAGGCACCTAGTCAGGATTTCTTTCGGCAGTTTATGGCCGCGATGATGCCTCAACAGAGGAGTTTCATTGATGCTGTGATGCGGCATAACCCACCAACATATTCTGGTTCAGTGGAGCCAGGAGTCCTTGGGTTTTGGGTTGAAAAGATGGAAAAGATATTTCGTGTTGTTCAGGTTCCGCCAGATCAACGAGTTAATATTGGAGCCTATTTCTTGGAAGGCCGAGCAAATCGGTGGTGGTTAGGTGAAGAAGCTGCAGGTGTAGACCAAGTGGATATGACTTGGGATGAATTTAAAGCAAAGTTAAAGGCTAGGTTTATACCGTCGCATATTCGAAAAGCGAAGAAGCAAGAATTGCTGGACTTAAAGCAGGGCTCGATGTCAGTTGAGGATTATTTTGTGAAGTTTAATGAGTTGGAGATGTATGTTCCTGACTACTTTTCCTGTGAGCGAGACAGAATTGACCATTTTGTAGACGGGTTGCAACACAGGATTCAAGAAGCTTTAGCGGTGTTGGATATCAGTTCATTGTATGAGGCTTACGAGCGTGCTGCCCGATTTTATCAGAAGCAGGAAGTCAGACAAAAGGAGAGTGAGAAGGAAATAGGTTATCAACATCAGGTTCGAGATAAGGGAAAAGCTAAAGTGGAGGATGAACCCAAGGGTAAAAAGAAATGGTGGCAAATGTTTAGGTCTGGGCCATCGTATAAGGGGATTTCGATTAATGAACCGAGTCAGGAGAGGTCTCAGCAATCGGGGGCTGTTTGTCGGCGTTGTGGAACAAGCCACCCAGGTACTCGTTGTGATAAAGTTCCATTGACATGTTTTAAATGTGGTGGTAGTGGTCACATTGCCAGGTTATGTCCAAGTGTGGTAACTGCAAGGGAGTTTCCAGAACCGAGGTTTAGGCCATGGCAGCCGCCGTCTTCGCAGTCACAAGGGAGAGGATTAGGATCATCTTGGCGAGGGGGACGAAGTCAGTCACGTTCGTCATCTAGGCAGCCAGGCAGAGGACCTGACCAGCGTGGTCGAATAAATGTTCTTACCCAAGCAGAAGCTGATTATCATCCAGGTGAGGTTTTAACGGGTAGATTTCTGGTTTGCGGTTTTCCTGCTCTTGTGTTATTCGATTCGGGTGCAACGTTCTCGTTCATATCTAAGCGTCTAGTTAGACGATTGGGTCTGAATTCATCAGTAGAAGTGGTAGTGGAAGTTTTACTTCCATCAGGAGAAGTACTGGAATGCCGAGAGCTTTATATGCAGATTCCGGTTAGTATTGAAGGGGTTGATTTTGTTACTAACTTGTTGGGCATCAAGCTATCCGAGTTCGATGTAATATTGGGGATGGATTGGTTAGTGGCATATCAAGCTCAATTTGATTGTCGAAAAAGATCAATTTCGCTGGTTGGAGCGATGGGCGAACTGGTGAATTATGCAGGATCTGCCAGACAACCTTTTATGAAGGTAATTTCATCCCTATCATTTCAATCATTTATTCGTAAGGGGTTTCCAGTATATCTGTGTGAGGTAAGAGATTTGACGCAAGGGGAGCAGCGATTGCAAGATATTCCTGTAGTCCGAAATTTTCCTGATGTATTTCCTGATGACATTCCGGGTATGCCACCAGCTCGTGAGGTGGATTTTACTATTGATATTGTACCGGGTGCTGAGCCAGTATCAAGGGCTCCATACCGGATGGCACCTTTAGAACTAGCCGAACTTAAATTGCAATTACAGGAATTGCTAGATAAGGGTTACATTCGGCCTAGTACATCGCCTTGGGGAGCTCCAGTTTTATTTGTGAAAAAGAAAGATGGAAGTTTGAGGTTGTGTATTGACTACCGTGGACTGAACAAAGTCACGGTGAAGAACAAATATCCTCTTCCGAGGATTGATGATCTATTTGATCAACTGAGAGGTGCAACTATATTCTCAAAGATTGACTTGAGATCTGGATATCATCAGCTAAGGATTGCAGAGCATGACATTCCGAAGACAGCTTTTCGGACTAGATACGGGCATTATGAATTCACGGTTATGTCCTTTGGGTTGACTAACGCCCCGGCTGCGTTTATGGAGTTGATGAATAGAATTTTTCAACCATACCTCGATCAGTTTGTGGTGGTATTTATTGACAATATCTTGGTCTATTCCCCAGATACAAAGACGCATGCAAAACATTTGCATGTAATATTAAACATATTGCGTGCAAGAAAGTTATATGCCAAGTTATCCAAATGCGAGTTTTGGTTGAAGGAGGTTGCTTTCTTGGGGCATGTTGTTTCTGGAAAGGGTATCTCAGTAGATCCTTCTAAAGTGGCGGCAATCTTGGATTGGCCAAGACCTACCAATCAATCAGAAGTAAGAAGCTTTTTGGGTTTGGCAGGATATTATCGGCGATTCGTTCTTGATTTTTCGAAGATTGCAAAACCATTAACTAATTTGCTGAAAAAGGATGCAAAGATTAACTGGGATCACGAGTGTGAGTCATCCTTTTTACAATTGAAACATCGATTAACTTCAGCGCCAATTTTGGCTTTACCAGTGGAAGGTGAGGAGTTTGAAGTGTATAGTGATGCTTCGAAGCAGGGATTGGGATGTGTCTTAATGCAGAATCAAAGAGTTATTGCTTATGCATCACGACAACTAAAACCTCACGAAGAGAATTATCCGACACACGACTTGGAAATGGCAGCAGTGGTGTTTGCTTTGAAGATTTGGAGACACTATCTTTATGGAGCCCATTGCAGAATATTTACTGACCATCAAAGTTTGAAATATATCTTCACCCAAAAAGAATTGAATTTAAGACAAAGAAGATGGTTAGAATTGGTGAAGGATTATGATCTTGAAATTGTGTATCATGAAGGCAAAGCAAATGTTGTAGCCGATGCCTTAAGTCGAAAACCAAGGCATAACTTGGGCTTCATGTCGGTTGCTGATGAACTGTGCCAAGATTTAGCGCGGATGAAAATTGAGGTACTTGGACGGGGTATGACTCGGGGATATTTGCAAATGATACAAGTTGAGCCTGAAATTTATGATCGCATTAGAGCGGCTCAAATGGAAGATAATAAAATGGTTGAGCTTGCAGTAAAAGTTCAGTACGGTCAGACTCAAAATTTTAATATTGCTCCAGATGGGAGTCTTCGATTTCACGGGAGGTGGTGTATCCCAAAGGATCGAAATGATTTGAAAGAGCAGATTATGAGTGAGGCTCATAATACACCATACTCAGTGCATCCGGGGGGAAATAAAATGTATCATGACCTACGTCAACATTTTTGGTGGAAGGGCATGAAGAAGGATGTAGCCAAATTTGTTGCACGATGTTTAAATTGTCAAAAGGTAAAAGCAGAACATCATAGACCAATGGGGTTGCTACAACCTTTAGAAGTTCCACTCTGGAAATGGGATTCTATCGCAATGGATTTTGTAACAGGACTTCCAAGGTCAAAGTCGGGAACAGATGCAATTTGGGTGATTATAGACAGATTGACCAAGTCAGCAGTGTTCATTCCAGTACGTATGACTTGGAGTATGCAGAAATTAGCCAAATTATATGTTCATTATGTGGTTAAACGACACGGTATTCCTGAGGTGATCATATCAGATCGTGATCCACGTTTTCAATCTCGATTTTGGCAAAAATTGCAGGAAGCCTTTGGTACTCAGTTGCATATGAGTACTGCATTCCATCCTATGACTGATGGTCAGTCAGAAAGAACTATCCGTATTCTGGAAGATATGCTAAGAGCTTGTGCTATGGAATTTCAAGGGAGTTGGGAAGACCACTTGGATTTAGTGGAATTTTCATATAATAATAGCCATCAAGCAAGTATCGGAATGGCTCCTTTTGAAGCTCTTTATGGTCGAAAATGCAGAACTCCTTTGAGTTGGGACGATATGAGTGATCGACTGATACTGGGTCTGGAAATGATTGAGGAATCGAAAAATAAGATTCGAATTATCAGAGAAAAGATGAAGGCAGCTCAAGATCGTCAAAAGAGTTATGCCGATAGAGCCCGACGTGAGGGTCAATTTCAAAGTGGAGATTTTGTCTTATTGAAAGTATCCCCAATGAAAGGTATTAGAAGGTTTGGGATTAAAGGAAAATTGAGTCCGCGTTATGTTGGACCTTATGAAATTGTCGATCGAGTTGGTGATTGGGCTTATCGGTTGGCACTTCCAAATTCTATGGAGCGTATCCATAATGTGTTTCATATATCTCAGTTTCGTAGGTATGTTGCAGATCCTTCTCATATTTTATCTCCAGATGAGATAGAGCTGAATGAAGATCTTTCGTATGAAGAAATGCCTCTGTGGATCATGGACACAAAGGTCCGAACCATGAGGAATCGAGATATTCGTATGGTGAAAGTAATGTGGTCCAGACATGGAGCGGAAGAGGCCACGTGGGAAGTAGAACAAGAAATGTTCAAGGCATACCCACAATTGTTTAATTAAGTTGCCTTGTTATGTGTTTGAGTTTAGATTTCGGGGACGAAATCTTTTTAAGGGGGAGTGGATTGTAATGCCCCGATTTCGGAATGTATAAAATAATATTATTATAGCAAATAAATATTTGACAATAGTAATGGAATCAAGAAATTAATATTTTGGGATAAATTATATTCCAATTTTGTATATTAGTTATAATTAAATAGACTGTTAAATGGATAAATATCGATAAAATTAGAAATAAATATAAATATAAAATATAATATATAATTTAATAATATAATATAATAAATAAATAAAGAAGATAAAGATGTTAATGTTAATAATAATATAATATAATATAATAATAATAATAATAATATATATGTGTATATATATTATACATATATATATATATATAAAAACAAACAAACCTTACCTCGAAACGAAGGAACGCAGAAGACGAAACGCGAAGGAGAAGAAGAAAGGAGAAAAAAAAAAAAAGGAAGAAAAACATTTAGCCGTCCGATTCCAATTCCGACTTGGGTATGGTATTCCTTGCTATTCGTAGAGTCCGATTATAAATTTTAATACGAATTTTGATATTGGAGTATTAAATTAGAAATTCTTCAAAAATTCAAAATTGGCTATTTAGCTATTTAATCGATGAATTTCTTTAGCTAATAGCCTATTCGTAGCGCCGACGTTATATTTTGAGAATTTCGTACCAATCCAAGTCGAATAAAAAAACGGCAGTATATTGCACCTGCCTGCTTGTTCATACCTTTGCGTATTTTTATTTAATAATCGGGCAATATAAATATTATGAGGTAGAAAGATTTTATAGCTAGAATATCATATTCTACTAAATATAAAAGTTTGGAGCCCGACGAGTTAATTATAGAAATTAGCTTTTGAATAAGCAGGTAGCTCCTGAGAATAAGCATAAAGCTCATCTGATTTGAGTAAATAATGGAACAGGTGTACGTTGGAGGAGATTTGGGTGAAGTTATAAAAATCCAGAAAGTATCGGTAGGAGGTAAGCAGTAGGGAATTAAATCTAATTTTAAGAAATTAGGTATTTATGTTGCATGTGATTCTGATTCTGATATTGATATGATATTATGTGGAATCATTTGGTCAGTGCATCTATATATGTATATATGTGTGTGTATATGCATGTGTGAAACTTCGTTTTACGATATTTGATATACGTATTTGATCGTGTTGGTGAATTTATGAAAAGGAGGATAGGTGGGCCGTCTCACCAGCCCTTTTCATTAAATTCACTTATTGACATGCTGCACACATCGCACGATTTATCGGATATGTTTTATGGATCTATCGTTTAGTCGCCGTGTGCGGTAGTGCTAGGCGAGGGCATCATCTGGGGTTAGGATATTCGACCCCGATGTACCGTAACACTTTGGCGATAGTGGACGATAGTAGTCGGACAACTGGGTGACTTAGTCGCACGGTCATTCAGGGATTAGACCCATTGCAGTTGAGTCGTATTTGGTCTAATCATTCGTGTTCGGTGTTGTTCCACTCATTGGAGTAGCTACTAGTGAGGTCTACCGGTAGTTTAGGATCATATGCCAAACTCCAAACGCGATCCCGTTAGGGCGTGCGAGGAGGAGTAGAGTTTCCGGGTTTCCTTCGGGTGATTCCAGGTTGCACGGATTCTACTACGTTACACGGGGTAGGGCTAGACAGGAGGGTCCTATCTTCGCTATCACAAACTATGGGGTGTCTTGTGGTTAATGGCGACAACGCTCGGCTATCCATGTATTGATTGCGGGAGTCGTATGGTGGGTATATGGAAGTGACCGGGTGACCGTTATATTATTATGGGTTTACCAGGTCCTTCCTTGAGCCGAGGATTTTCCGGCTATTTATTGATGATAGTCTAGTGAGCCGTTATTATGGAGCCGAGGTTATTCCGGCTGCTCACTTTGACATATGTATATGGGTATATGTGCATGAGTTGTCGATTTTGACATTATTGTTACATTATTTCAGTATGGGCATGGCATGGCATTTATTTTGCAAATGACGGAAATTAAACTCTATTTTCGAGCATGACATGGCATCTTTTATGTTAGTTCTTAAAATGGATTTAATTCTAGACTGCTTTTAAGAAAAATATTTGATTCAGGTACGCATGGCACCTCCGGGACAGGGGACGTCTCGGGAGATAGAAAGACGGGCTGAATGAGTGAACTGCATCTGATGTATTATATGTAAATTCTAACTAGAAAAACCTCCCGTTTTGGGAGTATGTTTTTGTAAATATTTATAAACTTGTTTTTTTGGGAATAATAAAATGCTTATATAATTAATTTTAGCCTTAACACTGTGTTGTGGGGCCCGAAGTAGGAGGTGACGACCTCATGATGCAGTGTGGCGGTAGCATTTCCAGTATGAGCCAACTGGGGGTGTTACATGCTGTGTCTGTGTTTGAGTCCCTACGGTGTTGCGATCATTTGTCGAATCTCTATTAGGCGTGGCATGTTCCTTTGATCAATTATGAACAGTTAGGAGAATCGATCAGAATTTAGGATAAAGTTCCTGATAGTCTAATTGAATGAGTTAATATACTACCTGATGAGGGGCTGGATCAACCGCAGTGTCAGGAGTGCCTGTCCCAACTGCACTTGACTTCTGCGTAGGCACATGCGGCATATAACATGAATTAACACCCGTTCTTCATGTTAGTCTTCTCAAGCGAATCGGGACGAGTTAGTCCCTACCTTAGGAGGGAATGAAACATTTTTGCATCGTCTTTTGTTATGCCTTTTTTGTGAACACTTGGAGCACGTGATTGTCAACCCTTTCCGAGAGGCTTTTTCCGGGTTCTTCTCGTCGTTTCCATCGCGCCTCCTAGCTTTCTTTGGCCTTCCAGTGCGAATCTTTATTTTTGGAGGATCAACTGGGCCAAGGTTGCTTTCCTCAAATTTGTGCATGCCAGGCACAGGGTTAACATGGTGGCTGTACACCCGTTCATACGTCTCCTCCGGAAGCAGAAATCCCAAAATCATCAACATTAAGGCGATGGTGATCGATGGCAGCGATGGCGTGGCAGCAAGGGTACCCAAAAATTTGAAACGTCCCACATATGCAAGTTCTATGTCGAAGCTGAACCACATGGTTTTATTGATAATGTAGTACCTCAAAGTTTTCTCCACCACCCCATGATGCAAAACAGTTTCTGGACTCAACCCGCTGCTTATCGATCTTCTTCACAATGTTGGGACAGACTTGCACCGGTAAATTTTTCAACCCCCACTCGTTTCATCTGTATTCTAACCATCAAATTGCGTCTTATCCACTCCCACATATCAACAATTGGGAGGTCTCTCGCATCTATTATGTACCGGTTGAAGGACTCACACATGTTGTTTACTAGCACATCACTTTTGGTCCTCTGTGAGAAATAAGCACGACACCAATGGTGTGGGGGAACTTCGCTTAACCACGCGTATGCCTCTTCTGCAATCCCATTCACCGAATCATACTTTCGGATATCTCTCATAATCTTCTCGTGCTCCTTGACACTATACGTCGAAGCAGCCGACCATAAATACTTCCTCAGTGCAAGCCCCTTAAATCGAGCTTTAAAATTATTATACATGTGACGGACACAGAACCTCTGCTCTGCATGCGGTGCCCGAGCAGATATGGCCTCAACCAACCCTTTCTATCTGTCTGATATAAAACTCCATCACCGTTCCTACATTAGCCTGAATCGCGTAGCAAACGCTCCAAAAACTAGTCTTATGTCTCAAACTTCTCAATCTCAACAAATGTAAATGCCAGAGGATATATGTTCTCGTTCGGATCATGGCCAATTTCCGTGAGCAGCTGTCCCTTGTAGATTCCGTTTAAGAAACACCCATCCAGCCCGATAATCGTGCGACATCCATCCAAGAAACCCTCATTCAGCCCCGACAAACAACAAGGCATTTTGCGTAGAACCGGTGGATTGTTGTCGCGATTTACATCTAGTATAAGGCTGCTGCCCTCGTTATACTTACAAACAGCCGCACAGTAGTTATACAACCGGTGATATTGCTCATTTGTGTCCCTTCGGATTAATTGTAGTGAATACTTTTTAGCCCGATAAACTTTGTGCATACTAGCATCAACACGAACTTCATGGTGAATCCTTTTCTTGAGTGCATGAAGCGTAATATCAGGATTATCACTTATGATTTTGATTTGTGTTCTCAAATATTTGTAATCCGCTTGCGTGTTTTGTGTTTGGTGCGCACACGTGTGAGTCCCTAAATACACATACAAACACAAAAATTAAATGTAAACCAACACAACTAAAAAATATATGTATATAAGATCAAACAAGTGGTAGTACCTTTTGACCTCTTGACTTGAAATGTAGGCTGATTCATTACACATGATGCATGAACCCTCCAAGCCCAACCTTTCTTGCAAACCGCAGTTACTTTCGTCCGTTTATTTTTTATGAAAAAATATCCTAGCCTTTGCACACCGACAATCCCTCAATGCTTTCTTGTACTTCTCGCGGCTTTCAAATTTTAACCCAACTTTTATATCAACACAACCTAGATCCCGATCCTCGTCCCATTCATGGTACATGAGGGCCGAAGCATGGTCTGTTCAAGGGGGCGTCCTTAGACATCCCTCGTTATCGCTGTCCACATCGTTAAACCAGCCCTCTGTCGCCCGAGATGTGGCCGTGAACCCGCCATCCCGCTCCTCTTCAAATCCCTTGGAATCACCCTCATCTCCGGGCCGATCATCATCCTCCATATGCAATCGATGAATCTCCTCTTCAAGTCCCCCAAAATCAGATGCATCTCCGGGTTCCTCATCATCTTCTTCGACGGATGTGATGCCATCATACAATTCGCTATCGTTCATTGCTGGTGCACTGAAATCTCCCCCCAACTCATCATTCCTGTCCGTTTGCTCTTCCACGGCCGTGCCACTTCTCTCATCCTTGTTGAACCTTCCATCCTGCTCACCATCTCCTCCGTTGAATCCCCCATTGTATGCTTCGTCCAAACCATCACGTTCATCAAAATGATAACCGGACCCATTTTGTTCCCATTTGTTTCTACCTTGTGTAAAGCCGAAAGTATATTCCGCACCCCACTGTTGGCCCCTTCCTGCACCCGTAATGTCATCATTGTAATCTGTCTACACCGGTTCATCCACACCAAGATGTCCTAGTCCATCCCCCTCCGTATGAATCTTCATCGTCGTCATCGCAATTCCATGCTGGCGGTCCACTACCACGGTCACCGCCAGTCTCATCGTCCATTCTGTCATCCCCTTCATCGTCAGAGTCCTCGCCTTCGACATTCTCATCGACATCTTCATCCATTTCCTCTCCTTCTTCAAACCCACCATAATATCGAGATTCCCCACCATCCATTTCCGACAACTCAGTGTCTGACTTTAACTCGTCTACAGTTTCAACTACTCGTTTACCTTTGGCATTGTACAACTCATCGTTCAGATCAAACCCCCCAGTCATATTCTCTTGACCTACCTAATCACCCTAGTTGTCATCCATCGCGTTTTCGGACTCTGAAAATGCAAGATTAATAACCACAGTACCTGGGGGAATTTGAAAATTACACGAGCTGTTATCTCTATGCCGGCTAATGAGAGGCACTTCCTTTTCCATTCGTATTTCGCGCCAGTCCCTATCGCATGTCTTGATGGGCATGCCAACGTGTTCTACATAAATGTGTATATGTTTCTCCTCATAATGCTCGCGAAACATTTCCAAGACATCCTCGTCAGTCTTCATAAGGAAGACAAATTTAGTGCTGAATCTGCATGGGACCCCTTTCAATGTGTGATACATGCGAACCACAAGACATTTCCCACCAACACGTCCATACATATCCAACAGGGTCCCATAATAAATCCTATCCTTGTCGATGTTTTAAAAAAATACTCTTTGACCACCTATATATGGATGGCCTGGGCTTTCCACTTCAAAATATCCACCCACCCACATGTAAATGTCAACCTTGCAGTCTTTGTCCATTAGTTGGCGAACAACAAAAACCTGCACGTGGGGCAACCAAGAATACACTTCAATAATCAACCCACCGACTTTCTGACATAAATAATCTAAACAAAGTGAAGTAGAGGTGGTCCACCCCACCTTGGAACACTACTCAACAGGAACTAGACAAAAAACAAATATTCAATTAACATAATCAATTATTTTCGTAATTGGACACAACCAGTCATAGGGTTTTTTGGGTCACCATCGAATATGTATAAAAAGCAGAACAAATGTACAAGGTGTACCCCCAATTCCACTTCTATGACAAATTGATGAACTTCTCAACCCGAAATTTTCGAAAATCGTAGAAAAATACCCAAAAGCACTAACCGTAGAAAAAGAAAAATGCCGAAAAGCCCTAGCCCTAAAACAAAAGTCATTCAAAATCGGTTGAACACGGTGACTTACAAGAATTTGGGGTTGTTACTACCCTTTTCGATTATAAAGGAATGGCGGACAGTGGCTGGACGCCGGTTTGATGAGAACGCCGCCGTTGGATTGGTGGTCAAACCTGTAATCGGTTTTCTCGTAGGTGGAAGAAGAACATCAAGTCGGGAATAGGGACGGGGGAGCAGTGTCAGTGGAGAGGGATAGGCGAGAAGTGAGGGAGAGAGAAGTGATGGAGGAGTGTTTAGTGAGTTATTTAAATTATGGGTATAACGGTCCTTTAAAAAAGAAATGTAACATCGTTAGGTCAAATTGATCAAAGGGGAGAGTGTGCGAGGTTTCTGAAAACAAGGGACTATTACGCCGTTTTTAAAGTACAGGGGGAAACATCGTCGAATTTCCAAATCATAGGGGGGGATATAAGAAGTTTTTCCTTATATATATATATATTATATATTTCAATAGTTTATGCCCCGCTCTTCTCGCACAAGAAATTTGATATTTGAAACGAAAATCGAGAGGTTAGGAAGGATATTGCAGAAAGAAGCAAAAAAAAGGCTTGAATTTCATAAGGCTTTGATTTCTCAACCGAGCGAATCAATTAAGCAAGAGCCCGATATGGTGGAAGATGATACCCACACGCACGCTCAGGGAGTTAGCTGCGCCCAATTTAAACTTACAGCCGTTATGCATTACTTTGCCAGAAATTGAAAGGTAACACTAGTTTTGAATTACAATCCGGACTAATACAATTTTTGCCCTCGTTTCATGGCCTTGCAAGAAAGAAACCACATAAACATTTGCAAAAATTCGATGTGGTTTGCTTGAGCATGAAACCGCCAACGGTTACGGAAGAACAAGTGAAGCTACGGACATTCCTTTTTTCACTAAAGGATGCGACGAATGAATGATTTTTTTGCCTATCGGCGGAAAGAATTACACTTGGATAGGCATGATAAATTATTTTCCG